CTTGAGCACACTGACACCCAAATCTTTGATCCTTAAACCAAAGCTTTCATTGGCTTCACTGTGGAAAAGATACAGTGCAAGGGCTGATTTATAAGTACCAGAGTGGTATTTCTTTGGAGCTTCATTAACTCATGTGCAAAACAATATACATCTACAAGTATTTGTGAGATGAAGTTGAAAATCACAGGAATTAAGGCTTCCCCCTTAATGTTTTCAAATTTTCAGTTAAATACATTTCAGGCTTTATAATGTTAAATCAAGTTTTACACCCTTTAGGAAATTTAAAAACACATTTATAAGGCAGCAGCCCTAAATTCAGGACATATTCCAAAACTTTATAAAGAGTCATTGGACAGATCTTAGCCTTATTTGGGAAGTGACAACTTTTCTAAATGTTTTGCACTAACAGGTGATTAAATAGATTCAACTGTGAAACATAACAGTATGCTTTCGTTAAAGTAATTTTGACTTATATAACCAAAATACATAGCCATCATGTGACTGAGAAATAATAATGAATCTATGCTGAAGTTTGTATCTTAAACATCTGTATTTAATTGCATACCTACTTCTCTATTTTAAGGACTGTTTTACTTGTACCCATCACTTAGCAGCATAAGAGTGCCTACCATCTGTAATGCTGAAGTATCTCCTGGAGTGCCTCATTCTCTCTTACAGAGACATGGTCAAAGATAAAACATCATCAAGATAAAACATTTTTCCTATTTACATCAATCCGTTCTATTTTTTCCTATGTTCAACTCGTTTATCTGTTTAAGAACGACACCAGGTAACTCTTACTATAGTGAAAAATACTTTTTCTTTCTTATTTTTCCTTTTTAGTTTTCTCTTCATTCTTTCTTTCTTTAAGGCAACATTGTAGTCTTTTCTCCAAGAAAGCAGCAGCTTTGGAGTCACCTAATTTGAAATTCATTTCACTGCCAGATGCTGTAACCAGGATCTACCTTTGTATTAGTTCTTGTGTTCATTCCTCTGAGCTTTGCAATATATTTCATTTGAAAAGCTAAATTTTAAGGTTTTAAAGCTTACTCTTTATTTTTAACAAAATAAAGCTTTGTTCATTCAGTATTACTTATTAAGGACATATATACAATGGAAGCAAAATTGTTTGAGAACATACTCAACATGTGGCCAAAACTCTAGCAGCCCAAAGTAGACATGCTTCTGTTCATATGACCTTTAAGCTGTTCAGCTGTACTATGAAAAATTACCTACCATCTATTTCTCCAGCATACACCTCTCCAAACATCATCCAGTAGGGCTGAAATACAATATCTCGTGCCAGAGTCCAAGAAGGAGGTTCCTCTGGTGAAAGGATTGCTTTTCGTGACACTCCAAAACTCAACAAGACTATGGCCATCATGACCACAATATAGAACATGTTTGCTGTCTGGAAGACATGTTTGTATGAAGGAATTAGCTGTGTTAATTACATGTAAAGGAGGCCTACATTGTAGGGAAGAGCACCAATCACTGCTTCTACTGATCAGAATACAAATGATGGACTAATAATCTAATATGCTGGAGGAAACAAAAATATTTCTATGACCTGGACTACTTAAATACTTTAAAGAGGTTAAAGTCATCTGAGATCAAAAAGGCCACAAGTTCTGCTTGCCTCTCAAGTCCTTCTTAAAATCTTTAGCAAGAATTGAAAAATGCAGAGACCTTATTATGGTGCATTTCCTCAGTGGTATTTCTTCCAAACTGAAAGCGAGGAATAGCAGGGAAAATTATTTTGCCTTCTAATGAGTGAGAATTACTATGCAAGAAATAATATAGAATTATTAATAAGATAGTTCCCAATAACTGAGGGAAATTACAGTAGGAATCTGCACCCATCCCTCAAGACTAGGCAGCAGTTCAGCAGCAGCTCTTACTCCAGAAGAAAAAAAAAAGTAACTTTGATCTCAGAGAAATTTTGCCTACTAAAATGGTATATAACTATTTGAATCAAAATGTAAAATAATAATGAGACAGTTTCCAAGAGCTATGGGAATTATTTATAGTAGCGATCCCATCTGCCAGAGACAGTGATTCTTCTTTCTTCTGTTATCAAGCTGGATCAGAAACTCTACCCAAATGCAACCTTTCTCTAAGGAGTAAAGTAGAAAATTATTTTTGTGAATAAATTCAAATAATTAATACATTAGAGAGAGTTGAAATCTGATTATGGTCAATTTGCAAACAGAAAAATACATGGTATTTCTGGGTAGTACACCCACTGTGAATTATTAGGTGAACTCTTCTTTCACCGTAATATTTTTATGTCACGTCTGACATGTTCCTCAACTGATCCTCAACTGATGACTTAATTACAAAAATGTTGCTCCAAAGCATAATACTTACCATTTTTCCAATCATTGTCAGGTATGGACCTGCATGCTGATTCACAGCAAAAAGATCAAGGAGTCGAGCATACCAAAATATTATATCCAGGCAGTAAAGTAGCCTCCCTGCAGTTTGAACAGGGGGTCCAGACCAGCGCAAGCCAAACCCAATCATAAACAGGATGATAGCTATAGTATCAGTAAAATTCCAGTATTCATAAATCCACACCTTCACTTTTTGGCGGAATTTTCCAGGTTCTGAGATAAATACCTGAGTAGAATGTGGGGGAAAAAACAAAAAAACAAACAAACAAATAACTCCAGTAAAATCAAATAACTTCAGTAAAAACACATTATTTAATCTTTCATGTCTGAATTATTCCATGATATTTGGGAATATGTAAATTGTTTCCTTTTTTATAAAACTGCCTATTATGATTCACCATTAATTGAGGTTTGTACTTAATAGTCCCGTATTGTTTAAGTATGCCATAACAAGTAGGACAGCTTTTCCTAAGGAAAATCAGATTTTGAGCTTGAATCGATTCTCTAAAAAAGCACATTCCTCAGCAGAAATAGCAGCCAGTATAGAACCGTTATGCACATGCATCATTATAAATTAACAAGCATTTTCTAGAGAAATGGTGATGACCTGCAATAGCCCTTGCAAAAGTCCCTAGGTCATGGAAAATACCAACCTAACCTTGCTGATGGGAAAATAACTAATGCCTCTTATTTCAGACTGAAAATATCTCTATAGAGATCCTTGTATTCCACCAAGGACATGCTAAAAAAAGGAGGGCTGGCAACTAGCAAGGTAAAGAATGAAATGTTCACTCCTTGAACTGCGAGGTGCCCCAAAGGGATTTTAAGCTTCACTGAGCAAATGTGTGAAGTGGAATCTTTGGGAGACCATAAATAAAACCTCTGCACATTTCAGAGTGAGGCCAATTATGCAGTGTTATGTGAGATCACGCTGATAAGTACCAAGGAAAGGAGATACTTTCAAATGTTACACCCTGATCCTGCAAGAATTTATGCATATGAACACATTAATGTAAACAAAGTGATCCTACTCAGTTCAGCTGGACAAACTCACATGAGGAACTAGTTGCAGTCTCAGGGCCTAAGGCTGTAACAATTAGTTGATACAATCTAGAGTAGCAGAGGTTTGCAGTTATATTTCACAAGGCCCTCAGCAGTTAATTAGCTGCACATGTTAAGACATGGTGTCCTACAAAGTCTTTGTCAGAACTAGTGTACGGACAAAGAATATCAAGTAGAAGACATGAATGTCCAAGTCTCCAATGAATGTTAATGCTAGAAAGAAGAGCTGATGTTTCCACTGTGCCACCATCAACAGGATACAACAGTGCATCAGTGATTTCCAAAGGCTTGCCATTTCATAATAATTTTTTTCTCAATTTGATAATCCTTGTGTAAATGTTTTTCGATTTTATCTCGTGCGGTCACAGGACTTTTATGTCTTTCCAAGCTTTAACATATTCCCAGCATTTTTGCTGCCCCTTGAAAACCTTCACCTCTCTCATACTGATGTTGCAGTCTTCTGAACAATTTGTTGTAATAGCATCCTTCACCCAGAACTGTCACTACGTTTTTTCAATTTTATTTCTCCAGAAGCACCATATTTTAAATATCATATAAAAAACAATTTGCTTTACTATTGTTCACTATGTGCCAATTCTGCAGTGAAGATATGTCTGACTGGATATAATAATTTCAGAAATACATAGCTGCATTTGTCCCCAGTCTCAGGTTTGAAGTGCAGGTTGTGTTCAGAAGCTCGGATCTAAATAACTACAAATACTTGTGATTAATTTTGATTAGATTATCATTTATCCATGCTCAATGAATCCAGCAATAGGAGTTCATAGTGGTTCTTTTCCAATTAGACTTGATGGAGAGCCATGGATTATTCTGCACAAAACACCTGTGAATTTATAACAATGTCCAGACTCCAAGTAAATATCTAAATATAAATTCCATATTCATTACAGAAAATCTAATAGTCCACTCCAAAAAATTAAGAAGCGAGTGCCTACAGTGAGGGTCCAAATTTCAGTTCAGCACAATCACTCTCAAGTGACCTGCACATTACCACTGGCTTTACACAGAAAATTGAGATTAAAGGACAAGCTTTAAAAGCCCAAGTACCAGTTTTTAAATAAAAAGACTTCTCAGAAATATTCTCAGGAATAAGAGTTCTGCATAACTCTTTCCTCTGCTAAATTATCTACAAAAATAATGCAGGATTTGGCATTCTTCAGTTTATGGTATTCTCTGATTTATAATATATCATCTCTAGATTCAAAGGGTGAATGGAAAATCTTACCTCCCTGACTTTTTCAATTGCAGTGCTGAAAATATAAATGATAACGAGCCACTCTTGCACACTTGGTCTTGGTTCCATCTTCACCAACACAGTGTAAGTGAAGAGCATCAGAAAAGCCATGTATGCCATCTAGAAAACATGAAGTATATAATCCATATGCACTAAAAATCTGCATACATATGCTATATGTATTCAGTCTACAGGGGCACTGTCTGTTTTTTGAGCCCAAAAGCTTTCCTCCAGTTCTACAAAGTATTTTTAATGACAATAACCTCAGACATAATTTGTAAATTAGTGCTTTAGTGCTGAAGAAGTGGGAGCAGAAGATGTACTATAGCACCACATGTGCACCTAGATCCCAAATTCATATATGACAGATTATTTTATCTTCACACAATTCCTTCAATGTAAAGGCAGTGCTGTGCTTTTAACCTAACCTTCTGCAGGAGGAAGTCAGTATTCTCAAAGCTATCTGAATCCCTGCTGGGTAATCAGTGCCCTCCAAAACAAAAGAAGAACAGCATCAGGTGAAAAGCACATGTATTAAAGGTACCAGAACATGCTATAAAGGTACCTGAGATAATATATTAGCAACCTATAAAGCGGTTAATAATAGCCTGTTAAAGGAGTACCAGTTTACATAAATGGTGGTCTGACCCACCAGCCTGATCTTAAACATCCGAAGCGCTACTGAAACTAGGTTAGTTTCTAAAACTGACTCCATAAGTGCATATTTCTGTACAATAAATATATCTCCTAGAGATTAAAATTCACTCCTTCAGAAACAGTTCCTAAAGAAAGGGACACAAATATCTGTGAGGTATTTAAGGTCAACTTCAAATCTGTCTCTGCATGTGCAATTAACCACTGTGAAAAGCTGTGTTCCTCTTTTATGTAGCTTCTTATACTTTCTCCTTGGTTGTTATTTGTTTTGGTTTGTTTTTTAATACAGAATTTAGCAGAAAAAACTTTTCACTTAATTGTGAGAGAAATATTTAATTGTCTTCACATGCACCCCCAACGCTCAGTGGCTGTAAATCCATGCTAGGCAAAGTAAAAGGATCATAAAGGGGTATTTGAGGGATCAAAGGAACGTTTTGGCAATCTGAGTTCCAGCATGATGACCAACCGTGTGAAACCAGAACTTGACAATTGGTGCATTGTAGAATTCATAGATTTTTCTAGTGCCAGGCAGGTTTCCTCGTCCACCATCTACTTGGCTTTCATCCAACTTCTGAGCAATCTTCTCCACATCATAATCCTTCTTTAAAAGGAAACAGTATTTTAAAAATAAGACAAGGGTTTGTCATGTTAGGAGGAAGACAGGCACAGATGTTTAGGCTTTGTTATGAATATACAAACCATTATGGTAGCCTCATTTTCTCTGATTACAAACATTTCATTTGCAATAAAATGTGCACTTTTCCACTATAAATATTCATGTAGAGTTTGCCCTTATGACTACAGGCAGTAGACTGGGCATCAGCAGACCTGAATCCACTCCTGTTCCTGTCACACATTTCTTCAAGTTTTTAAGCAAAGTCACTTAATCACTCTGTGTTTCACTTTTCCCATCTGTGAAAGAGCAATAAATAACAACTCCCAGTGTGACATAACTGTGTTATGCAGAACTACACTAACAGCTGTGGCACTTTCTGAAATTAGGGAATGAGTATCACATTTCCTCTCATGTATACAGACAATGTCAAGACAGAGGAATTCTGAATACAGAATCTAATTGCTAATCTTGATGTACTGCACACCTGATTAGAAAACAACGATGAAATAAGTACTCCCTGACAAAGATTCACCTACAAAAAATACAAGTAACTTCTTTATTATTTTCAGTAAAATAAAAGCAACCAAAAACCCAGAAAAGAAAACACAACTGATTTTGTATGCAGCGTCTGACACTTGTTGGAGTACTTCTGTAAATGTACAAATATCTCATTGCTGCTGAGGCATAAGAGCTGCAGACACATGGCAGTGGGCAACAAATAAAACCAGACAGTGCTGAGAAGAGTTTTCAGAGATGAAGGAGAGAGTCCTGGGTGAACTATAATAGCTAATAGCTGGGCAAGGCTGAGGGAACCAAACTACCTTGTTCCATTTTGCTTCAATGCTAGCCAATTGTCTTGGGTAATACCAATGCTAAAATGTATTGCTACAAGATATCTGCACTTTTTATGTATTTATCCGTACTACACAGTATTTCCTTGGGTTGTCAGGGGAAAACTGATTTGTTTTCATCACATTAGACTCAGAAAAGTGCTAAACGAGAGAAGCTGATACACAGAATCATTCCAGTGTGTTAGCATCAGATCCTCCAAGGTGAAGGAGAGAATTCCAGCTACAGCAGGTCACTGGAATGTATGTCTGTGTGTGCAAGATGTTCAGACACATAGCACATTTACATTGTTGAAATTGTCTGTACATTTTTCTATAATATTTCATATCAAGAATAGTCAAGCATCTCAGTCTACTGATTTAAGCAACACTCTACATTAGATAAAATCAGAAGGTAACACTGGAAGGAAGCAGCCCAATGTGAGGCAGGTCAAAACATTGATTATGCGAATTGCTGTGTTCCCTTCTACCACACTGCAGGGCTGCATATAATTACAATTGGCCTGTTCTCAGGATCATAGCTGTTAACCATCCCACAAAAAAAGCATTTTTGAACTGACTATATTAGACAGGCACTGCAGGAGGTAATGACTTGGAAGATTTTTCTGCATCAGAAAGAGAAAACACAAGTATGACATTGACATGCCTACCATGCTGCTGCAAAGGTCCACAACAATTCACTCTGTTTTATTTTTTTTTCACAAATTAAAAGTTAACTGATAAGGTCCCAAGCAATCCACAATGCTTACCTGCTGTTAGACAAACAGAGCAGAGCAAAAAAAAATTACTTGACACTTCTCACTTGACAATCTTGTTGTCATTGGTTAGGACCCCAGCAATGTTTATCCTTTTGGATGGAAATTGTATATGTCTGCCATCCACATCAGACTGAAAACTTTTGGAAATTCTCAGATCAAGGAATGCTTTGTGCAGAATGAGAAAAAGAAAGGACAGGCAATTTTGCTTAGAAAAAATCTGGGGATATTCAGATCTTCAAGGGCAAAGCCTTCACCTATTCTCGTGAAACTCCACCAACAAGCCTAAGTGGGGCCTATGGATTGATAGCCATCGTGAGGAGAAAGACTTGGGGGTGTTGGTTGACAAAAGGCTCAACAAGAGCCAGCGATGTGCATTTGCAGTCCAGAAAGCCAATTGTGTCCTGGGCTGCATCAAAAGAAGTGTGGTCAGCAGGTCAAGGGAGGTGAGTCTCCCCCTCTGCTCCACAATCACAAGACCCCACCTGGAGTACTATGTCCAGTACTGAAGATGCCAACACAAGAAGGACATGGACCTGTTGGCAAATCCAGAGGAGGCCCCAGGAAAGCTGGGGAGGGACTACTTATGAGGGCATGCACTGATAGGATGCAAGGTAAAAGCTTTAAGCTGAAAAAGGGTAGATTTAGGCATGAGGAAGAAATTCTGGACTGTGAAGGTGGTGAGACATTGCAACAGGTTGCCCAGGGAAGTTGTGGAAGCCACATCCCTGGAAGCATTCAAGGCCAGGTTGGATGGGGCTTTGAGCAACCTGATCTAGTGGGAGGTGTCCTTGCCCATGGCAGCGGGCGTGGAACTAGATGATCTTTAAGGTCCCTTTCAAATCATTCTGTGATTCAATGATTCTATGACTTTGTGCAACCACAGTTCCCTGCAGTGTTTCAGGACTCAGCTCAGGTGACTACACCAAAAACACAGTGCTTCTCTTGTGCTTTCAATGGCATCGCTGCTAGGCTCAAGCAATGCAGAAGTAGAGATTCCTGTTTTTTCGACAAAGAGGGTAAAAGCTAGAGCTCTGAAAGGGCTAAGATCTAATTTAGGAAAAAGCTTAGTCTCTCATAAGAAGAGACTAAGAGTGAAGGATGGCCAAGGAGAGAGGGAGAAGATGTGGCTGAGATGCAGGTAAGAGGTTGCTGGCCCAGCAGAGTGGGAGGAAGGAGGGAGTTTGAGAGGAAGGGACCTCGAATGCATCAGCTCTGCTGTCTCCCTGCTTTGGACAGCTCAGCTGGGCAACCTGAATTGAGCTTTATAGATGTGATTTTGTGTACAATATGAAATGAGTCTTAGGTTATTTGTTATACTAGATTACATATGTATTTATGTGCAGCTTGAATAGATTTTATGCTTGTGTACCTGAAAAATAATTAAAATCTCATTGTACTTCTGTGAGGTTAGGTAGGATTTTCTAGTTATAACTAGTACAGCAGTGACACCCAGCACAGATGAAGTGACTTGGTCAAGGATAAAACCAGGGATCAAATCCTCATTTCTTGAGAATTGAGCCTCAACAGTTTCAGCTGATCACTTCCTCCTAACTCCTCAGGATTCTACTGTGGTAAACAGACGATCATCACATGCAAATGACTGATCATGTCAGACTAACCAGAGACAAGGCGTCTTTAGCGCTGGGTGTACTCTGATCCCCATGATACCAGGTGAACTGGTGGAAGTCTTGAGACTGAGGCACATGAGACATTTCTGCCTTGCTTTTAAACTCCAACATCAAGATGGTGGGAGGCAGGAGAATACTCATTATGACCTAAAAAAGAGACACAACATTCAGGAAAATAATTCAGCAGCTACAGCATAGACCTGAGGCCACACTAAGCCACGGATGGTGCCTGCACAAACCCTATGCAACTTCACTGTCCTGGGAGTGAGCCACTTGTGCAAGGAATCTCTATATCATACCACTAAAAAACTTCACAAAATGCATTCTCCTAATGTCATCCTACAGCTGCTTTTGCAAAAAAGTAAACTGCAGGCAAGTACTGCCTTCCTTCTCTGCCTTTCTTTTCTCCCCCAGAGGTGCACATTTCAATTCACGCTTAAGCACATCTGGTTGAAGCTACATGACACACATTCATAACCACAAATACATGTATAAAGCATCTAAACAGCATCTCAATGCTCAGAAAAGCTGCAGTGACATTACCTTAAACCAGGAGTTCTTCCGCATCTTCAGACGTCCCATCCACATATCAGTCAGCAGCATCTGTGTGCAAGTATGGGACACGAAAGGCCGCAGCCCCACAGACACTGCTAGTTTTAAGCAAGTTGAATTGCTCCAGTTTTTCAGTTCATAGGTCAGTAATTTCATGGCCATCTGCTCATTTTGTTTGAATGCTTTTTCCAGCACATCTAAGGCAAGCTGCCCAAATTCCCTAGAGCCAAATGAATTAAGAGTTAATATAACAGCAACCAGTCAAAACTCAGAATCGGTGTTGCAGAGAGGTTGGTTTGAAAACTCTATTAACTAAAGCTCAGATAACAATCTCAGTAAGAATGTCTTCTCCCATTTTTCCCATTGCCTTATCTATATAACTAGTGAAAAATCATTTGAGGGGTAAATCTAATGTTTAGTTCTAATCACAAGGTTTAGGGTCATTCTGTTTTCTCTTTTTTTTAATTTGTTTTGTTCTTAATCTCAGTCAGCAATCAAAATTGACCCTAAAAAGTCCTAGGTACTTCCTTCAACAGCAGACTCAGCACCACAGTGAGAAAGCACTGCAGGCAGCTGCAGAAGCCTCTTCTTTTACACTGGCTCTTAAACATCTGTAGGGAAGACTCCTCAAGGAAGATACAGTTTCCTTTCATTAAGCTTCGGAGCTACATGTAAAACAAGACAGCACATTTTATTGTACTCTGAATATGAGGCCTTATGTCCACAAAGCATACGATATGTCATTAATAAGAAAAACTTCCATAAAATGCTAACATGAAACTACAAACTAGAAGAAAATTCTTTGTCTACTTAGTTTTTAACTCACTCATTTATTTCAGTATACATTTTTCTTTAAGTCTGACACAAAGCAGGGTGTAAGAACTGATTTTGGTTTGCTCGTTACCACGTTACAGATTTGAAAGGTCCAACACATATGCGTCATACTGCTTTTTAACAAGTTGAAGGAAGCTGTACGGGAAATTTCAGTCTTCACCTTGACCATTAATCAGACAGTGAGCCACGTATTACTAATCTATATTTTAATTTTCAAACATGCAACTAGTTAACAAGCTAATAGCTTTACTTCAACTCTTGGCCAGACTGCACACTGATACATAGCTCCATTATATAATATGAATAGTGAGCATCTGAAAATATTTCTTTTACACTCCACAGTCCATGGCACCACCAACCTTATGAACTCTTAGTGGATTAGCAAAATACCTAACCATTCAAAGCAGTGCAGAACTTTATTAAATTAAGTGAAAGGAGAACACAAACTTTGAGTATTTCTTGAGTTCTTCTGAAGTGTCATCCACCATGTTGCTCTGTTTAGCTTCATGTGCCATTGCCCTGTAAAGTTTACAAGCCACAACAGCTTTGACCATGGCTTCCTCTCCATGCTGCCAGAAGAACATTGCCATCCTTTGTCTTTTCATTAATACTGCCCAAACCAGGAGGTCATTATAGGGGTAGATAAACCCAGGTGACTCATAATTATCTGCAAAGTTTATATCCTCTTTTGGTTTCTTCTTACACTTGTGGAAAGCAGTGGATCTTTCCTAAAAAAAAAAAAAAAAAAGTAAATCTCAATGAATGGTTGAGGTCAAGATGCATGTAAATAAAAATGCACACAAATTTAAATTACAAACTATTTGATTATTATACACTATTAAGTCATTAACCATAGCTAGGATCATATTCAGATTACCAATGCTTAGAAGCTGGTAACATTACTGGAGGAAAAACTCTCCTTTCTCTGTACCCATGCCATGTCTTGTTTTCCATAGTGTTTGGCAGTCTCCAAAATCTGTGATACCAAGACCCTACTTTCAGCCTTTTCTTGTAGTTATGTCATGACAGGACAAAAAGCAATCAGTAGACTGAAACATACATCATGGACTTCTAATACTTAATGATGATTTTTACTGTCTGCCACACTTGTAAACTTGTTATACATTCATGTCTGGCTATTTCTCCATTAAAAGCAAGGAAAAAGTCTTACTTGTGTAAGTGATGTTGTCTCAGTGCTATAAAGGGTTCATTTTGGCTCAGACTGATTTCAATAAAGCCATTTAAATTCATTCTACTTTATGATTCGTCTGTCAGATATATGTATGTGGTAATGTTTGTTCTTTTATCATGCTCTTTTAGAAAGAAAATATTCTCTCATCATTTTCCAGGTATCAGAACTGCATTTCTTTTTAGCAGGCTTGCTGAAGCTGCTTTAATAAGCAATCATGAGGAAAGATCCGGAAAGTCAGAGAATTCCTACTATTGCTTCCAAATAAGAAGAGTTTTCACCCATGCTTGATGTTCAGATGTCTGGTGATACTACCTTTCAGTGAACAAAATTCCTAGGAGGAGTCTGAGCTTGATTTCAACATTAAAATGGCAAGATCTGTATTTTGTGAACCTGAGCAGTAAAATGTTGCTTCTATAGCAATCTAAGTAGAATTATAACTAACAGCATGACCAGCATATGTATAAAATCTTGTCGTAAAATTATTAGCAGCCTCATACGTTCTAAGCAAAGTCTACAATAATCAATTATATTACCTTGTATTTGTAAGGCTGTGCTGTTCTGAAGAACTGAGAATGCAAAGTACTTTCAGCAGATCCCATTCTACTACCTGTCTGATTACTCTGATGAAGGGAATGAGACAGGCTCTGGGAAAAACTGGAGAGTACTCTCTAGATCCAAAGGTGCACCATAAAACACAAGGAGAGAAATGTAAATTAGAGATTAAGTTTGCCTGTACTTACTTTTGATCGCAATGGTGCCTGTGAAAACTGATGTTATTCAAAGACTAGTGAGTCAGCAATCACTTTAACTACCACTGGAGCTTATAACCATCAGGGAAAAAACACCTTGTTACATCTAATTTAGAAAATACATACTTTTCTGAATCTCTAAATTAAAAATTCTGATTTCACCAATAGCATCCACCAAATACAGTAACAACAGGGCATGCCCCAGATTGCAATCATCCAACCTGGAAGTTCTTCTCAGTGCCTACCTTTAAAAAAAGTGCCATAAAAGACAAGCCTTTAAAAGACATACATTCTCTGAACTATTACTGATCATTCCCTCCTAAGGATGGCGTATCTGTCATCCCTGGGCATTTTGTTCAGTGTTGACTGAGAGGGAAGAAGGTTACTAAGTGAATCACTAGTACTCTTCCATGCAGTTTTTAGTTATAGGCTTGTGTGGTTTTACCCATTGCTGTTAAGGTCTTATTTCATGAGGATACAGTGAGGAGGGTTACAACTGCTGAAGTATCTTTTCTTAAACATTATTTTAAGCCAGTGACACACAGGAAGCTCTGTGTTTCTATTCATTCCAAGGAACAGCTTTCATTTCTTCTCATTTTCACTGATCACCTTGTTGTTCTTCTATTTGTCATGAAAACTATACAGGGGAAGGAAGATTTTTGATGTTTGTTTTTAACATATGGAAGTACTTCAACTAAAGCCCAGTTCTAGTCCAAAAAACAAGAAGAATCCTTATTCTGTAGATCTGCTCATTCTGTAATGTTGAGAATTATATTCAGCTGAGATGTTTAGGCTGTTTTCAAGCTACTAGTTTTGGAAAGTCAATGGGGAAATGAAAGTGCTAGCATGATTGCACACTGTTGCTCTGAGGTTGTTTGCTTGTTTGTAGAGGTGATGCTATTGATATGCAGACATGGCACAATGCTATGCCATACAGTAAAACACCTGAAGTATTTAGAAGGTACAGAATGGCACACACGTCCAAGGACAACCCCCTGCCTGCACAAAGTCACTGTACCATGGGTGCAGCCTGGCACATCCAGCATGCAATTTCTCTTGTGATGGCCACTGCATCACGAAAAAACTTCCGCAGAGCAAACACAGCTCATTGGCTTGGGCAGGAAGATGAACCACTAGCACTGAGCTGCTTCTAAAAGATAAGACATTTGCTCAAAACGTGGGTCAGGGATATCCAGGTTTCTCTTCACTGTGCTGACATGCTCTAAGTCTGGTTCAATGCCTGTTGAATCAAATATTTATGTGGTGTAGTCCAAGTTGCAAAAGGCAAAATGGTGGTTGACACTCCCTTGTTGATAGATGTCAGGCAACAAACACAACCCAGCTATCAGACACAAAGGCAAATTTACTGAACTAATAGTTAATTTAACAATCACCAGTGGTCTTGGGGGGACAAGAGTAGCTGGGTGAGGGATTTGTCCCTTTTTTTATTTGCAACCTTTCCACAGTTGCCTAAGAGATTCATAGAACAGACAAGCATGACACATATTTAACTGATGGTCTTCAGCCAAATCACAATGACAGCCTGAGCTGTTTTCATGTGTCACATTTTGGCTTTTGTTTTATGACCAGCGGTAACCATTTCACAGAAGCTACCTTATGTTTTCTGTAGAGATCATTGTAGAGAATTCGGAAATTCTTCCTTGTGTAGCTGCTCCGATAAGCTCCACCAAGAAGGTACTCTATCACCAGCCCAATATCAATCAGTGATATCTTGTAATCCAAGGAAAGGGTATTCTGAAACAGCAGACGTCACAAGCATTTCGTGATGTGATTATATGCAATGTCAGACCCCTACTACTATGAGGAGAGTCTGGAAGAAGGTGCAACTGAGAGCTCCTGCATCTGTCAGGAAAGAGTATACATTCCTTAGGCATATGAAAAGTGTGATGTCTACAGTCCACCGCACCTGCGTAGCACAGGGTGAACATCCCAATGTTCACTAGACCAGCTTGCATTCAAAAGTGAAAGGAAGGCTTTTTCAAGTTGTTCACCAACAGAGAGACTGAAAAAAATATTCTCCTGACAAGAGAAAACCATCATGGCATAACTCACTCAATAAACTAGTTCATCAATTAAAAATTAAAAAACTGATGAAGCATATCTTGAATTTTGTAGAGTACTTCCTTGAGTCTGACCATCTCTTGTAGAAGGTTAAGGATGTACAACAACTAGAATAGCAGCTGCACATGCGTTAGCTTTAGTTTCGGAGTCTCTCACCATTTGTGTTTAAAGCAGCACTATTTCCCAGTTCACCTCCACTGTGCTTCCAAGACATGAAGTTTCTGACAAATTCTCTGAAGAACAGATTATCTTCAATGCAGATTTTAAAGATTATTGGTAAAACCTTAAACCACATCTCCTGAAAGTGCAAAATGAACCTGTACAAGAACGGGGTCCAAGGGGTTATGCACTCCTAGTAGTGTACACCTTTCAGACTGTGAAAAGTAATGTTCTTCACTAAACTGAGGTTTATTTCAACAGACTGTAGTGGCAAGACTCAACATGGCCAGCTAAGACACACTTAGAAGACAGAGGGAAAGGCAAAGGGAACAGAAGGCACCAATATGCTGAGCACTCTGGGGCAAAAGCATGCCTCACAGGATAAAGCACTTCAGCTCTGTCATTGAGAGCTAGGCAAGAATTTCTGACTCTTCTGCATTACAAAGCATATTTTGTGCTATCAGGGCAGACCGCAATCTATCTTCATTCAAATGTAGCAGCAGCAAAGTTGGTTACACGAATGGAGAAACTGTTCTGAAATACATGTTCACATCACTGTGCTGACTGTCCTAGCTACTGTGTTACTATCTGTAATAAGATGGCAACTGTACATTCACTGAGCACTTTTGCATTCCTACGGAAGCTGAGGTGAAAAAGGCTTTTTGGTGTTTAGACCTGCTTGCAGGTCCCAAGTGTTAGCTTACCCAGCAGCATGGAAAGTTTTGAAATCAGGCACTTCTTTTCTACCTAAATTCCACTATTCAATTTAAAGGTGCAAAAGCTTCCCTATAGATGTGAGTTTTCCCAGATTGTCCCAAGATGTAACCATGGGAGAGCAGTCATATCAAGGGGCCAATCACTTCAGTATCAGTGAGAAAGTCAGATTCCTCAGCCTGTAAAAGTTTAATGTATATTCAAAGAGAGATTTTCTGTATCTGTTCCATAAATTAGACATCAAATATGTCTATCTGTATGGGAAAACAAAGAAAATAGCTTGCTATGGAGACCAGAATACACTACAGCTATTTATAGAAGCATGAATGGGATCAACATGAAAGTCACCCACAGTAAGAAAATCATAATAGAAATCCCACTACTTGAGACCACAGAACTCTGCAGACCATCAAACTTACAATTTTAGTTAATCTTAGCACTCTACATCCTGGAATGAATAAGCCAATTAATCTACTTTTGAATCTAGGCACCTCCTGCAGTGAAGACCAAATACAGAAAGAACCACTCACCCCTTCCTGGCTAAGAAGTACTGTGAGGGACAATAGACAGCAGG